AATGTATGCAATGTGTTAATTATTGAAACTGTCCTACCAATTTGGTTTGAAACTGTCTCATTGCTATTTGTTTCTGAATAAAATTATGGAAAAAAAAAGATAGTTCATGTGAAAAACAAAATAGATTCGGGCCCTGTTTTATAAACTGTTTAAGTATGTTCAAAAATCCAGACCATCAAGTTAATGGTGCTGAGTTCTAACTATGAACCCCTCATGCTCTGAGGACAATTATTATAACAACTTGGGCGGTTTAGCTGAATCAATGATTTTATTCCCAGATAAAACCAGTGGGGAATGTAATGGGTCAACTCACATTTATAGTTTTAGACTATAAAAGTAAATCTTGTGTTTTCTATTGTGTAAAAATGTATACTCATCACTGTTCTAAGTTGTTTAGTAACTAGTAGCTGTTTCTTGCTGTTTGCTAGATAAAATTCCTACCTCACTAATTCCTGTAAAGACAGTTAGATTACAGAGATGACTTCAAAAGGAAATTAAGGGGCCGGGGAGATGGCTCAGTGGAATAAGCGCTTCCCTGGCAAGCTCAAGGGGCTGAGTTCAGTCCCCGGTTCCGCCAAAAAAGAAAAAAAAAAAGGAAATTAATTAGGCTTTAACTTCTTGTAACTTTGGGCTATGCAAAGCTGCAAGCAAGTACTCAGGTGCCAGATAACCAGAAACTTAAAAAAGAACACCCCAGGAAATTTAGTTTGGGTGGTGGTCACAATGACCCTAAAAGCATTATTGTGTTCCTGACAATGAATTTGTTTACCAAATGAAATGTGGTTCCAGGTTTTAACCCTCCCCCCGCTTCCTGGGCGGCCACCTTTCAGTCTTCTCCTGCATGAGAGCTGACTCGGGCCCTGAGCTCAGTAATAAACGGCTTTCCAAATTCCAATCTGGCTGATCTGATTCCTATTCTGAGTGACCCATAACAGATCGCTAAGTATAGTGAGACCCTGTACCAAATAAATAAATGATTATTCAAAAAATAAATACTTAAGGACTAGGTATGTAGCTCAGTGGTAGTACTGATGAACTCCTGGGTTCATCCCTAACGCTACAATATGTAAGCGTTGTTTTTGTTGTTGTTGTTGTTTTTTTTTTAATAATGAAGAGCTTTGCTCAGTGTTGTTGGTTGCTACAGAGGGACACGAATCCCTGAGCCCTACCCTAAGAAGTTTAAGATACATGTAGGAAGGCAGTTCAGGTCAGAGCTCAATGGGGACACTAGGAACCCAGCTCCTACACTAACCCCAGGGGGGTCTAGGACCTCACACACAGATGAACTCAGTTTTCTCCAGGCCACACATTACTGTCATAAAATTGTATTCAATTGTAAACATTTTGCCCTTGAGAGAGTTCATGTGAAAAACAAAAGAGTCCCTATACACACAGCTTACATACATGGTTTCTCTTATATAAGAAACCCAAAGTATAGATAAATTGAGGAACAAAATAAAAGATGGACAACAGGAAATGGGGAGAAGGATCCTGTGTGAGTGGGAAAGGGGCCCAGAGATGGAGGAGAGGCAGGGGAGGGAGAAAGAATGAAGTACGAGGTCTGAGCACGAACTCCCCGCAAGAAGGGTGAACTCTATGTACTCCAAACGTGGACTCATAAAAGTTTTTTAAAAACAGATTTCCAGTTCTCTTGAAAAAGTGTAGGTTGACTGCACTTAAGAGGTGTGAGGTCTGAAAAGGGCCTCCCTCTGGCCCATCTGGCTCCATGTTGTAGGCCCCTGTGGCCTTTTGTTTTTGGACACAGGGTCTTGTCTTGTAGTTCAGACTGGCCTTGACTGCACTATGTAGCCCAGGCTTGCCTTGAATTCACAGAGATCCTCCTACCTCAGCCTCCCGAGTGCTGGAACTGCAGACATGAATCACCACACCCAGTCCCTGTGGCCTTTGGCTCATCTTCCACTTCAAATATGCGCATCCAAATGCACCATGTGCACATACACCCACCGGACACCCCCTTGGATGCACCAACCACAACTGGGATAGACAATACAATACAGTGGGGATCAGGGGAAGGATTTCCTAATGACTGTGGAGTGATTCCCGGGGGCTGTCCTGTCAGGGCTCGAGGGAGACAAGTGATTGTGATGCTGACAGAAAAGAGGCATAGAGAATGAGCCAAAGGAAGGGACAGTGCGACCGCACCCTAAGGTTCCCAGAGGAAAACAGAGGGGTGTGGGCAGTGGAAAGAAGCAGGCCCACACTCCTCACATCCTGGTGCTGCACCCAGGGCAGGAGTGTTCATTCATCACAGACCGCGGTGCTTCTGAGCCGCTGCCATGTCACCCCCCAACACACACACACAGCACTCAGGGGTCACTTCAAATTGGTCAGAGCTGCCTATCTCTCATCTGTGCTCTCTCTCCTCCTGGGGGAACCTACAGCTCACACTTTGTTCAGTCACTCTCAAGGTTTCTTAAACTGCTACATGACAGGAACCATGGTAGGTGCTGAGGACACAGTACTTATTTATTTTTTTTCAGAACCAGGAATTGAACTAGGCCCTTGCACTTGCCAGGCAAGCACTTATTCTACTGAGCCATCCCCCTGGCCCAGGACACAGTACTGATACGCGTTCTTCTTTAAAATGCACATAAACAACTGTTTGGTTTATCATGGTGACGCTGAGGTTTAACACTAAGAGAATGCCAAACAGGTTCTAAATGACATAAGCCACGTCATGCAACCTTCTCAGCAGCTTTCCATACCATATGCTGTTACAATTATATTCAGAGAGGTAAAGTTCTTTTCTTTTTGGTCTGGCTCAGGCTGCCTTAAGGGTGGTTCTGGTGAGGCACGTGGAGCTGGGGATCAAACCGTGGTCCCTCGCGCCGGACTGAGTTAGCCCAAGCAGGTGCTTCAAACAACTGAAATAAACCGCAAGCCCCCCAGAGAGGTAAAGTTCTTTTCCCAAGGACACACAGCTTATCGTGTCGACTGGTCAGCGATGGGTTAACTGCCTGACTGATGGACAGCAGCCACAAGAGCTGAGATGAGAGAACTAGGCACCTGGTTTAAACTGAAAAGTAATGCCTTTCCGCTTTACATCTGCTGGCACAGCCAAAAAGCCCAGCCACGACCCGACAGCAGAAACGCAAATGCTGAAAAGTGTTAGCAGGTACGAAGAGAAGTGAAATCCTTTGGAGACCAGCCTCCTGGCAAGTTCCTCAGAAAGTTAAACTTGGCATTAGCAGTATTCGTAACATCCAAAATATAGAAACTGTAAAAAAGCCCATCAACTAAGGAGGGAATAAGCAAAATGGAGTTGTGTTGGTCACTTTCCTGTTGCTGGATACAAGACATCCACAACGTGAAGAGGAGGCTTCATTTGGATCACGGCTTTGGAGGTTCAGTCCATGGAATGCTGCTCCAAGGCAGAAGCCTCAGGGCAGAGCACAGATCTAGTTTGTGGCAGTTGGGAAGTAGAGCAGGTGCACAGTACCACAGAGGAGCTGGCAAAGGACTATACACAGTGCCACCCAGGTACACCCAACCGTGTGCTTTCCCACTCTACTAAGCATTGCTTTTCTTTCTTTTTCTTTTTGGTGGTACTGGGGATTGAACTCAGCACCTCAGGCAAGCACTTATTCTACTGAGCTATCTCCCTGGCCCCTCTACCAAGCATTTCACAATCCAATGAAGTGAACCTATCAGGAAGAACAGTCACAATATTGTATTCATAAAACAGATTTAATCAACCACAAAAAGGAAGATTTTTTTTTTTTGGTGGAACCAGGGATTGAACTCAGACCCCCGCACTTGCCAGGCAAGCGCTTATTCTACTGAGCCATCTCCCCAGCCTGGAAGAAAGTATTTATATGTGCTACAATATGCATGAACTTTGAAAACATTACACTAAGTCTGATATGAACTTTGCCCAGGTTTCCCTTGGGAATAGTCCATGTTTTTCTTATTGAATTATAAGAGCTCCTTCTATAAAAGCAAATAACCTTTTAGATATTAACTATGTTGTAATTTTTTTCCTACTTTGACATTCATTTTTCAACTTTAAGGTGCGTCTTCTATATAGGAATATTAAATTTCATCTAGGCAAATAGGGCAGCCTTTTCCTCTCTGTGGTCTGTTGTGCTATGCTTAGCTTGAAAAATCTTAGCAAGCTGGTGCATGGTGGCACGGGCCTATAATTCCAGAACTCTGGGAGGCTGAGGCAGGAGAATCACAAGATGGAGCCCAACCTGGGCAACTGAGAAATTTAGTAAGAACCTGTCTCAAAATAAAAGGGCTGGGATGAATTTCAGAAGAGAAGAAGGAAGGAAGGAAGGAAGGAAGGAAGGAAGGAAGCAAGCAAGGAAGGAAGGAAAGGAGGGAGGGAGGGAAAGAGGGATAGTTGCAGGATAGTTGCCTAGTACTCACATGTTCAGCTCTTAGTCTTTGAACTTTTTGTACCTTTCGTACCTTTTGGACTACACAGTAAGCTTACTGCTAATTAGATTGTCAACACACACTTTAAAAATATTAACTTTCAAGCTGGGCATGGTACTGCATGCCTATAATCCCGGTACTCAAGAGGCTGAGGCAGGAGGATCACAAGTTCAAGTCTAGCCTGGGCTACAAAGTGAGCTCAAGACCAGCCTTGACTACATAGCAAGCTCTGTCTCCAACAACAACAACAACAAGCTTTATTAAATAAAGACTCATATTTAAACTTAAGTATCCTTGGCTGGGGAGATGGCTCAGAAGTCTAAGTGCCTGCCCGGCAAGCACAAAGACCCAAGTTCGATCCCCAGTACCGCATGTTGTGCTGGTGCTGGGAACCTTGAGAGCACCGTGCCAGCCCCAAAGTGGGCGTGGTGGAGCACACCTGTAATCCTAGCGATGGGAAAGCTGAGGCAGGAGGATCACTATGAGTTAGAACTGCATAGTGAGACGCTACACAAATAAATAAAATTTAAACAAATACATAAACTTAAGTGTCCTTCAGAAAAAAAGGAAACCTAAATGTTTTGCTTCCCCATTAGAAAGGACTTTCTCTGAGAACTCAGTGAAATCGTTCTTGATTCCCTATACCTTTTCTCTCAAGGCCTTTCTTCTGTTTCTTCATCTAAATCGCATGACTTTGACAATGATTCACTCTGGACGACTCACTGTGTGAAGAAAAAGAGAAAAAGCAGTATCAAAAGGACAGCAAGGATGGGAAAGAGAAGAGAAAGGAAACACCGAAGCAGCCCCACCACGGCATTTCTGCCACCTCTGGCCACTGCCTCTCTACCCACGCTCCCTGGTCCTCGCTCCTGTCTAGGCTGAGATTGGGCTCCAGAACCAAGAGAACCAGCCGGCTCTGTGACATGCCAGCGTTGCTAGGGAGAAGCCTGGGACCAGAGTTCCAAGAAGGAAGCCACAGAGCTGCAGAGAGAAGGAGAGGAGCAGACGGGGCACCATGCTGCGGTTGGTCGTGGAATCGGCCAAGATCGAGCCGCCCCTAAGTCCCCCCCCCAGACCCTGCCTGACTGTCTACTTCAGAGGTGAGAGCCGGGCTCCAACGGGGCAGAGAGCCCTGAGGGATAACGTGCCTAGGAGAAGAGCTGGGTTTATTGGTGTCCTACCGGGGAAAAGATGGCAGTTGACACAGTGATGAGGTGGATACTGTCCAGCTCCCTCATGACTTGTCCTCTAAGGTTCAGGACCTTAGCTCAGTGGAGGACACTCATGTGGCACATGTGGGGCCCTCAATCTGATCCCCAGCACCACCAGAAGAATCTATAATTTAAACAAACAAAAATCTATCACTTTAAACAAATTAATTAATGAATGAATTAATTGGTACAGGGTCTCAGTACACAGCTCAGACTCCTAGTGATCCTCCTGTTTCAGCCTCCCCAGTGCTGGGATCACAGGGTGCACCACCACGCCCAGTTTCAGCGGCTGGCACAGCACAGGGCCAGCACCGCATGTGGTACCGGAATCCAACTCGGGTCCTTGCACGTGCCAGGCTGGTGCTCAGACCGCCGAGCTATCTCCCCAGCCCTGACTCTACCATTTTTATTGCTATGATTTCTTTTCTTCTCACTTTATTTTTCTAGGAAATGGTGGTAGGGAAAGAGGAGGGGTAACATCTGTTAACTTTCCTCCATGAACTAGGGCTGTGTCATAATCAGGTTTGAAGGGAGAAAGGTTCTTCTGGTTGTGGTGGTGCACACCTGTAATCCCCGCACTTGCACTCCAGGGGCTGAGGCAGGACGGTCACTGTGAATTGAAGGCCAACTTGGGCTATACAGTGAGTTCAACGCCTGCCTGAACTACACAGTAAGACCTTGTCTCAAACAAAGAGAGAGACAGAGACAGAGACAGAGATGGAGAGAGACAGAGATAGACAGAGGCAGAGAGAGATACACACACAGAGAAAAAGGGGCAGGGACAGGGACGAAGGCAGAGGCAGACAGAAAGGCCTCTGCTTTATAGGACTGATAGGAAGATTTAAAAGGATAACCAGTGGGACATGGTGGTACAGATAGGCCTGCACCACCTGAGAGGCTAAGACAGGACGATCACACGTGTTTTCAAGCCCAGTTTAGGTAATTTATGGATCAGTGAGACTCTAGGCTCTGTCTTAAAATAAAAAATGAAACATAGGCAGGGAGACAGTTCAGTGTCATAAGTGCCTGCCTGGCAAGTGTAAGGACCCAAGTTCAATCCCTGGTACTGTAATAAATAAGTAAATAAAACATAGTTTAGAGCCACATCCTGAGTTTAATCCCTAATATGACAAAAAGACAGACAGACAGAAAAAAGATAACACAGGGACAGCCCTCACAACAGCAGCTACTAGTAACTTCTCAATTTTTTTTTTTTTTTTGTATTTAGTACAGGGTCTACAGGGTCTCACTATATAGATCGGACACATAGTGATCTGCCTGTGTTCAGCCTCCCAAGAGCTGGGATTACAGGCGCACGCCACCACGCCCAGTCTCAATGGCTGCCTCAGCATGCCCCAGGGGATGGGGCTGGCACGGCACATGGGGATCCAACCCTGGCCTCTGCGTCTGCCTAAGCAGGCGCGTTAGTCCGCTGAGCTATTTGGTTGGCCCTCACTGATATTACTTGCTTTTGAGTGAGCCTTTTTTGGGGGGAGGGGACTGGGTCTTAGGTATAGTTCAGGCTGGTCTGGAGCTCACCCTGTAGCGTAGGCTGGCTTTGAACTCACAGCGATCCTCCTGCCTCAGCTCTAGGCATACACCATGCTTTACAATGGGCAAAGCCTTCTCATTAATATAATGATGTTTGCTCCTCCATTAGGGCAATTCTGTGAGGTAACTGTGGTAAAGCTTATTACTTCTATTTATTTTAGATAAAGAAAAAGAAATCTGGGGCTGGGGAAGATAGCTCAGAGGCATAAGCACCTCCCTGGCAAGCACAAGGTCCTGAGTTTGATCCCCAGCCCTGGATACCATGCTGGCCCCAAATCCCAGGGCAGGCGCACTGTGTCAGCTCCAGAACTGGGCATGGTGGTGCAAGCCTATAATCCCAGCACTTGGGAGGCTGAGACAGGAGAATCACTGCAAGTTTGAGGAGAGCATGGGCTACAAAGTGGGTTCAAGCCAGCCTGTCTCAAAAAAAAAAAAAAAAAAAAAATCAAAGTATTCTCAGGAAAGTTGTAGTCTGTATTGAATAAATGAAGGCTTTTCCTTGTCATCATTCCCTAAGTAGTACAGTATAGTAATTATGTACATAGCATGTATATTATTTTTTTGCGTGAGGTCTTGTAAGTCAGCTAATATGATTTATGGTATATGGGAGGAATGTGTGTAGGCTGGAATGATATGTAAATGATATACAAATACTGAGGCTGGGGGGATGGCTCAGTAGAATAAGCGCTTCCCTGGCAAGCTCAAGGGCCTGAGTTCAATCCCTGGTTCCACAAAAAAAAAAAAAAAAAGATATACAAATACCATACCATTTTATATAAAGGTCTTTCTAAAAAATCTTATTTATTTATTTGGTGCACGTTCTTGCTACACAGCTCAGACTTGTAGTGATCCTCCTGTCTCAGCCTCCCCAACGATGGGATTATAGGCATGCGCCACCACACCTGGTTTTGGTGACCGGCTCAGCGCAGGGCCAGCATGGCATGCAGTACTGGGGACTGAATCCAGGTCCTTGCACTTGCCAGGCAGGCGCTTAGATTGCTGAACTATCCCCCCAGCCCTATATAAGGTCTTGAGCATGTGTGGGTCTTGGTATCTACTGGGGAGGGAGATCCTGGAACTCATCCCTCAAGGTCACAGAGGGATGAGTCCAGCTCCTCAAAGAGAATGAAATGCCCTTCATTTTTTCCCCTGGTCTGTAAAACTATGACAGTGCCAAGAAAGGGAACATTTAGGACTCTGAGCTCACAGGGTGACGTCCACTTATGTCCCTAGTCTGCAGGTTTATAGGCTGAGGGAGCTTAGTCAGACAAGAGACCAGCAGCTCTTCGCCCCAACCCAAGCAATTCTCACCTCCGCACCACCATCTTTCTTTCTCCTCCTCTGAGAAATATTCCTTACAAAAATGTCTACATGCTGGCTGTAGTGGCCATGCTTGTGATCCCAGCACTCAGGGGGCTGAGCCAGGAAGATTGCTGCAAGTTTGAGGCTGGTACGGGTGACACAGTGACACAAGGCCCATCTGCACTACAAAGTGAGACATTGCCTAAAAAAAATATTTTGCAGGAGTGTAGCCTGTCTTCTGTTAAACATATTGCTGAAAAAGAGAGATTTTAGTTGTTAGTTTTATATCGATTATTGGATGTTTTGGGAGTACAGTGGAGTTTGCTCTAGTTACAAATAAGTCTTAAATCTCAAGATTTTAACAATGAACATTTACCTCTTGTTCATACTCAGTCCTATGTGGGCAGTGCTAGTCAGGGACAGCTCCAGCCTGGCTTCTCTACAGCAGTGTGGGGGCGAGGCACTGCCCCTTGTGGCTGTGAAGTCACTCTACTGCCACCAGGTCAGGAGGGTGCCTGTGGAGAGGAGGGAAGGAGAATGAATACCTGGGTGGAGAGTTCAGGATTGGGACCTGCAGTCCAGAGGCCATTCCTATGCCCCATCAGCCAGGGTAAGTCAAATGGCCTCACCTGTTGCGAGATGCTGGGAAGAAAATGAAACGAAAATGCTACATTGTCTGCCACACAGGGTGATGAAAAGTGAGAAACTGTGAAGCTCTCAAAGAAAGAAACAGTCAGTGCCACATCACAGCTGTCGATGGGCCTACTTCTGTTGGCCCCTTCCAGCAGACACTGAAACACCCTTGGTGTCTTTGCAGATATCAAGAAGAGAACACGTGTTGTGGAAGGGAATGACCCCACGTGGAACGAGGTAGACCACCAGGGCAAGCCATGAAGAGGAATCAACAACCTCGGCAGCCTTGAAGCCTCCGGGCATGGTGGCATATGCCAGGATTCCCAGCCCCTGTAGAAAGGGCTGGACTGAGTCTCAGTATGGAGGCCCTGTGTTCAACCCCTAGTGCCCAAACCAAACCCAAAACAAAAAAAACCAAACAATAACAGCAACAAAATACAAACCAGTGAGGTGCAGAGGTGGGGTCCAGGCAGGTGCTGAGACATCTAGGAAGCGGCAGGGTATCCCCAAGCTTTGCTCAAGGCTGAAGCATCTGATGTTTGGCGTAGCCTCTGATCTGATAAGGCTGCAAAAAACACACCTGCGGACAGCTGCTCTCAGTCCATCTCCCCCACTAGTGGGGATGGACCATGGTGTGCTTCATCAACTAATCCAGCCAGGCCCTCCTGATGCATCTCGAGGCCTAAAGTAGAGAAGAGCCTCTCAGAGAGTGGCCTCTCTTCCATCCCCATCTGTCCCGACCCCTGCTCCCTTAGCTACTAATGCGTTTTGTGCCCAGTTCAAGCCGCTGGGACCCAGGTGGGACGCTCCACACTTCGGGCAAGGCCAGCTTCTTAGGAAAATAGACCCGGGGGAAGCTCCTGCGCTTTCGAGAAATGCAGTGCCAGCTCCCCCCTCCCCGCCCGTTTTCCCTCATCTCCTGGTAGAGCGGCCTTTTCAGGCCAGGGGAAAGCAGCTGACCTCTTGACGCCCCCACAGACTCTCATCTGGCACCTCTGGAGCCGCCCCCTGGAAAATGACTCCTTCCTGCAAGTCATCCTTCGGGACATGGGCTCAAAAAAGAAAGAAAGGTGCGGTACAGCGGGGAGGATCTTCACTGAAGATGATGTAGCTCTTTCCTCAACCCCGTATTTCATGCTGAGGCAGGGGTCCAGAGCCCACTCCAGCCACTGAGGGAAAAAGTGGGGGTGCGGGCAGGTAGTGGAAGCAAATCAGCCAGGACTAGGAACTTTGGGTCCCAACCACAGATCCCAAATCTCTGTTTCTCTCCGTTGAACCCTGGTTTCCCATCATGGCACCACTCTGGGGCCCAACAGGCTAAACGCCCGTGGACGGCGACCGTGTAGCACGCTGGGACAAAGTTCCCAAGAGAGAGAATCTGATTGGACCAGCGGTAGTCAGGTGTCTACCGCTGGTCCAATCAACTGTTACCTATTTTTTTTAGACTCCAGGGCCCTGCGCCCTCTGGTGGATTCATCACCTCATTGGGGTTTCTCAGCGTCTAGGTGAAAATCCACGTTAGCTAATGCAACGCCAAGGACAGAGGTGGGCACCTCACACCTGCTCCTCTCCTCCCCAGGTTCATTGGCCTGGCCACAGTCCTGCTGAAGCCATTGGTGAAAAGGCCCAGGGAGGTCCTTCTTGTGAAGGAGCTGAATCTGCTCAACCATTCCATGATGCCCACAGATGTGAGTCAGGCCCAGACGGGCAGGTGGCGAAATGACAGCAGCTGGTGGAGCTCAGCTTCTCTGGCTTCTGGCCCCGGGGTCCCCTTCCCCTGACTCTTCAATCCTGCCCTCCGCCTGCTGAGAGGGGTAACTAACCTTCCTGGGCACCCAGCGCTGTACCAGGCACAAAATTGAGTTTTGCTACTTGGCAAGTGTAAACTCAGGTCCTGAGTTTGCTTCCCAGTACCTACAAAAAAAAAAAAAAAAAAAAAAAAAAGGAGTTTTGGCAGAGACTCAACAGCAGGCATGATTGGAAAAACATGGGAGGGGATAACGGAAAGGCAGTGACCCCTGGCTGGAAGCTGTTGGCTTGCGGGAGCAAGGATAAGGTAACTAGAAGCCCAGCATCCCATGTGTTTGGTTCGGAGTGTAGGACTGGCTTTCTCTGGTTGATCCTAAGTTGGTAGAGGGTACAAAAATTAGGGCAGCTGTCAGCTTGTTAATTATTTGTCAAGCCCTGGCTATTTGGGGCCAATGGGTATTGTTCGGCTTCCTGAATTGTGAGACACAGCTGTCTGACTTCCTACAAGTCTTCCTGGACTCATTACTACAGCAAAAGCCCTGAGTTCCTGGCTGGTGACTGCAGATTATGGTCAGAGCCCTATTCCCATCTGTGTCCCAGACACATCCAGTTGTATACGTCAACCACAGAAGGGCATGCATTTTCCTAATGGGCAGGAGGAGGTGAACCCCAGCAGGACATCAAGGGCACAGAGAAGGGACAGGTTCGAGGAGGGTGGGCTCCCTGCCCTTCTGGCACATGGCAGAGAGTGTAGGGGAAGGGGCAGGGCTGAGGCTGTGCTGGTCAGGGACCAGAGGGGAAGAGCCTGTGGTCTCTGCTGCTAAGCACACCCAGTCCTGGGCTGGTCCCTCATCACCCTCTTGCATCCTTTGCCATTGCCACCACTACATGGTCCCTCTGTTGTCCAGTCTTCTCACTGTAATCCATTGTTCTGTTCAGTTCATGTGCCCATGGTGTGGCCCTGTCCCATGCCAGCATTACTATTCCCAGGAGGACTGGGAGCCAACCTAGCCAGCCTGGAGCAGGAGTAGGTGCTGTAATTTAGGCAAGGGTTACAGTGCCTGGCTTACAACTCCTCTGCCTTTGCTTCGCAGTGCACTGTCACCCTCCAAGTGGCCCATGTGATCCACCGGGACACTGAGAAAACAGGTATGTCCTTCCCAGGCCTCACTCCTGCCTTTCTTCAAGCAGGGCTGGACAGGCTTTTGAGTACCTTTCAGGTCCAGCCCTAGAGGTCAGTGGGAGGACTGGAACCAGGTTAAGGTGCCCAGAGGCCTCCTGTGTTGAGTCAGGTCTATGGCTCCATGGTAACGGGGATGGATGGCCCCCTGGGAGTGTCCTGGGAGGACGTGTGCCTCCTCACGTCTCCTAGCTATGGCTTTGTCAGGAACTGCTCACTGGGGACAGAGGATAAAATGGGGGATCCTCCACACCTGTCAACCTTCAGCCTTGGAGCCCAGCCTGTGTTTCTCTAGGCAGAGCAGACCCCCTGGGAATGATCACAAGGGAGGCGACCCAGCAGAAGCTCCTGGTCCCCGGCTCTGAAGGGATGTATAGGGCTCTGTCCTCCAAGCCTCAGCACTTTCAGGTGAGGATCATGCAGGCTGAGGGCCCGCGTGGTCCACCTGGTGCTTTGTGGCCTTCTGGGGCACTCCTCTCCCACCTGAGGTTGGAGCTCCAGACTCAGCTTCAGATCCTTGGATTTTCACTGAGCCCCCAGCTCCTCCCAGGGCCATTCTGAACAGCTTCTGCTGTGGCTAAGGCCAGCTCAGGGGAGGAACAGGGAGGGGCTGTGGGGGACCAGTAGGCTCTGGTTGGTGCTGGGGAGCAGCACAGACCTACCTGTCCCAAGCCTTGGGATTGCTGACAAAACAAGGTGAGGCACATGCAAGGTCAAAGTCACTGGGCAAGAAGGCTGAGAATGTGGGCGAACCATGGGAAGTTCATCTCAAGCCTCACCGATTTCCGTCTGCTCTGAAACTGGGGCCTCACATTGGTGCCACATTTCATCAGCTCCCCAGCTTGCCAGGGCCAGGACGTCAGCATCGGCCCATGGTCACCCCCACTCCTGCATTGACATTCCCTGCCCCAAAGCCACTCTGTCACTCTCAGGACCACCTCTCCAGATAACCTGGTCCTGAACTTACAGCCAGCAACTCTCTTAGTACCTAGATCTCTCTGAGATATCTACCTGCCCAGTCATGCACTTGCTTAGAAAGCCCCAGCGTCCTGGGACAAACCTTGCTCCTCGAGAGCCCAGGCCTACATCTCCAGGAAGCCTGGTCCCACATGCTCCCCTCTGTAGGTCCGGGTGAAGGTGTTTGAAGCTCGACAACTCATGGGCAACAACATCCACCCCCTGGTGAAAGTGACCATCGCAGGCCAGCAGCACCACACACGGATCAAGATGGGAAACAATCCTTTTTTCAATGAGGTGGGCTGAGTGGGGCAGGTTAGGCAGATGGGCCAGCCAGTGGGTGGGCACCCCTACAGGCAGTGGGCATGCTTGTTTCCTGATGAGGGTGTACACAAGTGCTTGTCCTCCAGGCATTAACTGGGCACCTGCTGAAGGCCAAGCACTGTGCTCGGCCCTGGGGTACAGTAGGGGATAATCCGGAGCCCTGCGTTGAGGAGCTGGGGTCTTTGGGGGCACAGCACTCAAACCTGCAAACATTGCCAGGGTGGCAGCCTGGGCTGAGAGAGCTCTGGGGCAGTGTCAATGTGGCCTTGAAAAGTGGGCCCAGCCACACATGTCTGGCCCCTGCTGGAGCCCCAGACTGTAGCATCGTACATGCCTCTGCATAAATGCTTGTTCGGGTAGCTTCGGAGAGAAGACAAAACACTATGGGATGAGCGAGGAGTCAGTCAGTAACAAGGCTAGGACCTAGAGAGAGAACTCAGAAAACTTCTACTGGGGAAAGATGGACAGGATGGAGGAAGATGAGTCAGGCAAAGGGAACTATGTTTGCAAAAGGCGGAAGCAAGGAGTAGCTCAGTTTGTTGGCAGAACTGGAGATAAGGGTGAGCCTATAGTATGGGTTGATGTCTCATCACAGATGGCGCTCAAGCTGTGGAGGGTCTAAGCAGTGAGAGGAGAAAGGGGTTCTGGCTCCTGCAGGAGGGTGGGGTGGACTTGGGGAAATGGAGGAGAAGACAGGCTCGAATCACCATCCTGGAGCAGCCAGCTGGACCTTGAGCTGCTATCTGTTCCACGGAGCCCCTACCCTGCCTGTCACCTGGGAACCCACCAGTAACCCAGGCCCCTTCTGCTGGCGGGGGGAGGGTGTCTTCAAGAGGTGGTGGAGCTGGCCTGGTTGGGGAAGTAAGGTACTCTGAGGCGTTGGCCTTGGTGGAGGAAGAACCACATCTGCTAGCCCTTCTTCTCTGTGCTGTAGATCTTCTTCCAGAACTTCAACGAGGTGCCTGCAAAGTTCTTTGACGAGATCATCTTAGTCCAGGTGAGGAGGCAAACTTGGCCCCAGCAAAATGGGCCCAACGTTCTTGTCCCTTCTCAATCCTGGGAAGCCTGTCAGCCCCAGCCCCTGCCCTCGGAGCCAGAGTCCCTTGAGGGGCAGTGTCTCTGGCCCATTCCTCACCCTGTCATAGTCCACATTCTTCATTCATTCATTCATTCATTCATTCATTCATTCAACAAAGGCCCTGAGCTAGGCGCTGAGGTGAGCAAGGCATCCCCCTCCATTATGACAGGGTTGTCATCTCCCCAAAGATGCTCAGGTCCCCAGAGACTGGGTGTGACTACGGGTTACCAGGTGCCCAAGGAGCACAGGAGGCTCCTCCCCGGAAGTGTTTAGTGTTTTTAGGAAGGAGACAGAGAGGAAATAGCGGGACAATGAGTAATGCAAGAAGTTACTTGACACTTAGCTTTGCGTTGACGTGGGGCAAGTGATTCAGCCTCTCCGGCCAATTTTCTCATCAATGAAATGAAACTGAAAACCTGAACCCCTCAGGGTTCCTCTGAGAAGTAAGTGAGGAAAACTATGCATAAGCATTGGCCACTAGGAAGCAGTGAGATCCTGGGGTCCCAGGACATGCCCCCACTATTGTTTCCAAGCGAGATGGGAAAGTCAGGCTCGTGAATAATTAAGATCTTTCTGGAAACTCCCTTGCAGGTGCTGAACTCCTCTGCCATGAGATCCAAAGCAGAGATCGGGAGATTCCAGGTGAGCCCTGTATATAAAATGGAAGGCCTTGTAAAATTGGTTGTAGAGACAGTTGTAGCACCTAGGGGAGTTTTACATGGAAGGGTCCAGACTGGGATCCACCTACTAACTCAGACAAGTTATGCCTACTAAATGACATAGACAAGCTCCCACTTCTTCATCTGTAAAATGGAATAATAATGTACCCAAGTTTGAGGGTCCTGAATTACCCAAACCCATGAGTTTTGGACAAAGTTCATGACCTTAGGAAAGCAGAAGTCCCAAAAAGGCCAAGCTAAGTTGGAGAAATGGTGAGAGAGAGAGAGAGAGAGAGAGAGAGAGAGAGAGAGAGAGAGAGAGAGAGAGTGCTATCTGTGAGCACAGAGTAGGCTGATGTGATTTGAGACACAGGCTGAGAGATGAGCATTTTGTGTAGCCGTGAAGGCCTAATCCAAGGCTCTCCAATCCAGGAAGGTCAGGAAAAGGTAGGTTGCAAAGCTAAATGCAGGATGTCCCATTGCATTTGAATTTAGGTCCTCAGGCTCTGACCACACCACCCAGATGGCACCAGATCGCCTCTGATCCCTCTTAGATACGTCAGAGGATAAAATTACAACTTAGTTTAAAGATTTTAATTAGCTTTGAAATTCTAGAATGAGGTGATGCGTCATTCCCTAAAGTAGAAGCGCTTCTATGGGGGGAGCAGAAGTTGGTCTTGCCAGGCATAGTGGCCCGCATCTGTAATCCCAGCAAATCTGGAGACTGAGGCAAGAGGATCATGAGTTCAAGGCCAGCCTGGGCAACTTAGCAAGATCTACCCCCCCTCTCAAAATGAAACAAAAAGTCTGAGTTTTATGCACAAAGAAGCATAAACAAAGAACAAGATGCAGATTGGTCATTCTGAAGTTACTTCCTTTTTGAGATGTGGGCAGGGAGACAGAACAACAAGAAAAATAACTGATTGGTTAATATTAGATTAAGTGTCTTTAAAATTTTTATTTAAAAAACCTATTGGTCTGGGGAGATAGCTCAGTAGAATAAGTGCTTGCCTGGCAAGCACAAGGGCCTGAGTTCAATCCCCAGTTCTGAAAAAAAAAATTCTTCTGAGCTCTCGTTTGCAGCATCTAATGATTACATTCATCACAGGAGTTGGCACATGGGCATAACACTTCCTAATTCTTTTTTCATCCGCTCCCTCCCCCTCCATTTCTTGTTCCCTTTCCCATTGGCAAAAGCTCTGTCTCCCCATTTCCCATTGTCCATCTTTTATTGTGCTCTTTATTTGCACTTGGGATTTTTCCTGTAAGAGAAACCATGTGGTAGTTAGCTTGTGTGTCTGATTTACCTCACTTAACATTACGGTCTAAGGATATAAGAATACTAAGATTAAAGCAGGTAGAATGTCATGTCATATGCACTAGCCTGTCTGGGAAATGTGGCTCTCTCCCCTTATTCTCCTGATGTCTTGGAAGGTTAGATGACAATTTAGTTTCTGTTCGGTGGTAGAGCTTCCATGCGAGTCAAGGCTGCGCTGGCTGGTGTGACAGTGTTGGGTTCTGGGTCTTTCTAGCACAGGTTTGGGCCTTCTCTCAGACTCAGTACCCTCCCCTGAAGAGAAGTTGAAAATGGACCTCCTTTACAAGTTCTTTTAAAGATTAAGGTTTGGGCCGGGGAGATAGCTCAGTAGCATAAGCACTTGTCTGGCAATTGCAAGGGCCTGAGTTCAATTCCCGGTTCCGCCAAAACAAAACAACAACAAAAAAATATATATTAAGGTTTTTAAGGCAAGGACTGTGCTCCAACACCAGCAGTGAGTACTTGTGCCTGTTAATCTGGAGGTGGAGCCCGACTGGAGGAAATAGGTCTTGGGTGCAAGACCTTGGGGACCGCACTGTCCCCGACCTTTCCTTCTTCGGTTCTCTTCCTGCTCCTTCTTCCTGGCTGGCGAGCAGCGCTCCTGTGCCATGCCCTTCCACCATGATGTTCCTGTGGTGGGGCCAGCTGGCCATGGACTGAACCCTCTGAAACTGGGAGCCAAGACAAACCTCTGTTCCCTGAACCTGCAGGCTCGCGTACTGGGCCCCACTGACCAGACGTGACTGGCGCAGTACTTTCATCTGCGTAGCTGGCATCACAGTTCTTGACTTGGTAGTCAGCTTTCTATCACTATAACAAATAGGTGATAGTCGATTTATGCCGGAGAAGGTTTATTTTGGTTCACAGTTCTAAAGGTTTTGGCCCAGGGTCATTGGCCTTGTTACGTTGTGTGTTTTTCAGATTTCTATGTTGATGAGTGTATGTTTGCAGTATATAATGATCAGTGGGGAATTGGTACGCGTATATAATATGTCTTCTTTTTCTGTCCCCTTTCCCTTCTCTCCCCTGCTTCCTTCTTGCCCCATCTCTTGCTCCTCTTCCCATTTGGAAAACATCTGTCTCCCTGCTTCCTAGTAGTTATCTCGTATTTTGTTCTTTACAATTTAGGTTTCTCACATAAGAGAATCGATGCAGGAGTTAGGCCACGTGCCTGATTTATTTCACTTAACATCATGCTGCCAAGATGCAGCCACCATCCGACAAATGCCTCAAGCTTATCCTTCTCTGTGGCAGAGCAGTACCTGTTGTATGTAAAGACCATGCTTTCTTTATCCATTCTTCTGTTGGTGGGCAGAAAGGCTGCTTCCAGATGTCGCTATCGAGTTGTGCTGCTGTAAACGTGGGTGTGGATGGATCACCGGACTGCTGTCCTTAACTCTTCTAAGAAGCTGCCTCAAGAGAGAATGGATGTGTCCACGGGAATTTCACGCTTTAGCTCTTTGAGGACTCTCCATGCTGATCTCCAGAGTAGTTGTACTAGTTTATGTTCCCACCAGCAAAGTACAAAGGCTCCTTTTTCCCCACAGCCTTGTCAGTGTTATTATTTGATTTCTTGATGACGGCCATTCTTTCCTGGGTAAGAATGAAGCTCAGTGTTGTTTTGATTTGCTTTTCTTTGTTTTTTGAGACAGATCTCTCTATCTAATTCAGGATGGCCTTGAACTCACTCTGTAGCCCAGGCTGGCCTCAAACTTGTGACAATGTCCCTGCCTCCGCCTCCCTAGTGCTGGGATTACACATGTGTGCCACCACACCTGGCCTTGATTCACGTTTCTCTAATTAGCCTGGCTACGTTGGTCCTGTGGGGCCACATCACAGTTGGGACACGTGGCAGGGCAAGGCACTTGCTTAATGACCAGGAAGAGAGATGCATGAAGAGATGGGGCCTGTCACTCCCTTTGAGGGCACAGCCCCCAGTGACCTGCCCAGTGTCTCCTCCTCCCCACAGTGCTAAGCGGGGCCCAAGCCTTGACCACCGGGGTCTACGATCCAGATGGATCAGGGCTCTGACCCATACCTGTCATTGTCTTTGCAGACGGATATCGGATTCGTCTACCACTCTCCAGGTAGGTAGTGGTGGTCGCAAATCTGTGCATCTCAAGAAAAGTCAAACTGGGTCAGCATAACTCAGGATCTCTAACAAACAGGGTAGAGTATTATGGGGTATGAACCATTTTCTGTACTTGATAACATTTCCCTGTACTTTATGGTTCTTTTATCTTACTTTACAATAATAGCGTCTTTCTCTAGAAAATTCAAGGCACCCTTTTGGATCAAATGCTAACCTTTTATTGCATTTCTGGGTTGGATTTATATTTTTCTAACCCAATTTTGGAAGATTGAGGTTAGCATTTTTATTTTTATTTTTTATTTATTTATTTTTATTTATTTTTGTGAAACCGGGGATTGAACTCAGACCCTTGTGCTTGCCAGGGAAGTGCTTATTCTACTGAGCCATCTCCCTGGCCTGAAGTTAACATTTTTAACTGACAGCTAATAATTGTTTATGGGTTATAAAGTGATAGTTCAATACATGTAATTGGTAGAACTATCCCCTCAAATATTTATCTTTCTTTGTGTTAGGAATATTCAAGATCCTTTCTACTAGCTATTTTGAAATAGATCATTAATGATTGTTGACCACAGAAGGCTGAGGCAGGAAGAGCGAAAGTTTCAGTCCTGTCTAGGAAGTTAGTGAGACTGTCTCCAAATAAAAATATAAATAAAAAAAATGCTAGGGATGTAGCTCAGTGCTAGAGCATCTCAGGGTCCAATCCCTAGTCCAAAAAACAAAAACACAATGGAGGGTTCATCCTCCGTCCTGCTCTCAGCTATAACCCTGACCCATTACCCACCCTCTCAGCTGGTTCCCACGGTGACCACAGGGCTCCCTCTTTCCTGGAGGCCACATCAGGCAGTTTTGTGAGTTCTCAGTCATTTTCTACTAGGAGAAAGGACCCTCTCTTCCCTGTGCTGCTGTGAGAAACCAATGCGCGGGAGATGTGTGTCCCTCCCCCTTGTCTCCCCCGGAATGCAGTGATTTAGGGGAGCATGGGGTGCTGTAGAGGCTGGTCTCCCATAGTCTTCTGCTTCTCCAGGCCACACACTTCTGAGGAAATGGCTGGGCCTCTGCCTGCCAAATGAACCCAGCAGTGGGGTGAGAGGCTACCTGAAAGTCACCATCTGTGCCCTTGGTGTGGGAGACCAGGCTCTGGTGAGGCTTCCCTCAAGCTCTTCGACACTTCCAACCCTGGTGGGCTGCTTCCTGGAGCACCCAGGAAGTGGCCACTCACCTGCAAATCCTTCCTTTTGTCCACTATGCCAGGGTGGGATTGCCCCAGTCTTCCCACACCAGGTGGAGGTTGGGGACACTGAGTGGGTGGCCTTGGCTGTAACAGCCCCATGACCCCAAGCTACCCAGCTCTCTGGTCTCTCCAGGTGGATCAAAAGCTGCTCTATGGAGCCGACACAGATATCGAGGTCTTCAAGTCTGCAGCCGTCCCCATGACCACCGCTTACCTGCAGCTCTTCATCTACTGTGCTGAGGACCTGCACCTCAGTTAGAGTCGGGGGGCAGGACAGGAGGCCCCTAAATTCGCATGGGGTTCCCTATCTCTTGTGACATTGAACTAAGTCTTGGGCTAGGGAACAGGCGACACTGAAACTTACCAGGAATTGTGCAAAGGCCCCATGGCCAGCTTTTCAGACCTCTGATGCCCTCATAGATCCAGGCTCCCACGGCCGTCCTGAGCCCCCACCATAGGCCACTGTGGGGGTGACCCACAGAAGGGGCAGAGTGGCAACTGTAGATCTCACCCTTGCATTTGCTCCTCAGAAATGCTGCTGCCGCCTCAGAAGTCCTTGCGTTTCTCACCCACAGGTAGTTACCAGCCAGCGAGTCCCGTGTTAGAGGTGGAACTGATTGGAGAGAAGGTATGTGGAGAGGGGCCCCTTGACCCAGACAACACTGCACCTTGACATCATGTGCAGGACCCCAGAAATCATGTCCCAGCTCAGCCACCCAGTGTGCAGGGTGACCTCTGGGCCCAGAGCTCTGAGGAGAGGTCAGGTAGCATATCCCCGACTCCCCGAGGATGCCCAGCTCCTGGCAGTGAGAAGGGCCCACTGGACCCAAACATCCAGCTGCATGGGGGCGTAATGGGTGAATGAAACAGCATGCCAACAAAAGAAAGTCAGGCCGCAGTGATGGTCATGCCTGTTACCCAGCATTTGAGAGGTTGAGGCAGGAGGATCTCCGTGAATTAGACACCAGGCTGGCTACTTAGTGAGTTCAGGGCTGGCCTGAAATATAGAGGCTGGCCTTATCTCAAAAACCAAAAAATAAAGTAAAATAATAAAGGGCTAGGGATGTACTACAGAGCGAAGGCCCTGGTTCAGTCCTCATGACTGCAAAATAAACAAATAACAATGAAAAAATATACATAAAACAAAAACACTGGCACCATGACCATCCCCTCTGGCCTTAGTTTTCTCATCTAGAAAGGATGGCTTCCCAGTAAGAGAATTGCTGGCGTTCCATAAACTTCTATGAATACAGAGTAGTGTGTCCCAAAGTGTGCTGGTGTTCAAGTCTGGGAAATAGTTTATGTCAGATTCACAAATCATCATTTCTCTTCTCTCTCACTCTTTTTTTTTTTTTTTTTTTTTTTTTGGGAAGGGTCTACAGGGTGTTCAGGGTCTCACTACTAGGTCAGACTCATGGTGATCCTCCTGGTTACAGCCTCCCAAGAGCTGGGATTACAGGCGCACGCCACCACGCCCTGTCTCAGCATGCCCTGGGGTCAGGGCTGGCACCGCAGGCCTGGGGATGGAGCCCCAGGCCCTTGCCCCTGCTTGCAGGCACTCTAATCCGCTGAGCTACTTGGCCGGCCCTTTCTCTTCTGTCTGTAAAAGGCAGTCATCGCATCCAGCAATGTGTGTGTGTGTGTGTGTGTGTGTGTGTGTGTGTGTGTGTGTGTGTATTAATGCCCTACCCTTCCAAGAATTTGTTGTGGACATATTTATATTTATATTATTATTAATGGGGTTTCTGTGAGCCAGATTGTCTTGCTATGTGCTCAGGCTGGCCTTGAATTCAGTATGTAGCCCAAGCTGGCCTTGACCCTCCGGGGACGTACCGCCTCAGCCCCCTAAATACTAGCATGTCAGGCAGTACCACCAGCCCAGCTGAATCAGTCTATGAAAAGGAAAGTTACTTGATGGTTTTACAAAGGGTGTGCTGTGCTACCATCAGACATGGTTTTGGTTCTTTTTCTGCTAGGAATATCAAAATTCATCTAACAAAATCTATCTAGTGCACTCCTAGAAGAGTTAGCAATTCTATCCTATCTATTCAAATGATCCTACTGTCTCAGCCTCCCCAGTGCTGGGATTACAAAGGCATGCACCACCATTTCAGTGGTGCCAGTTTCAGAGGCTGGCATGGCGTGCACTGGGGTTGGCATGGCATGCAGTCCTGGGGATTGAACCTGGATCCCTGTCTATTTAAAGGAAGGGCTGGCAGTGCGGCACGGTGGTAGGGTGCTTGCCTAGCATGTGTGAGGCCCTGGGGTCCATTCTCAGTACCACGCAAAAGCTGCAGGATCTGATGAGCTCAGCTTTAGACCCAGGAGTAGCCCTGTCTCCTGGATGCTGCAGAAGGCTGTGGGCAGCAGGACAGGGCTCAAGGGTGGGGCCTGGTAGGATGCGTTGGCCCAGCACTCACCTGGCTTTGGGATGCTCTCAGCTTAGGACAAATGTGCAACACCAAACCGACAACCCCATATGGAACCAGATCCTGACCTTCCAGATCCAGGTACGGCTTCCCGAACCCACATCCCGCTGAAGGGAAGGTCCAGGGTCTTTGGTGCTGATAGGAGTTAGGGCCAGGACAGCGCTGCCTGGGGGGCGGGGGAGGAAGCCCTGCGTGACTTCCACACACCCATACCCTATTTATCCCTTACTCTATTTATCCAAGCAGAGGTTGGGCCATAGGCCTGCACTTGCCAGAGAATTTAAACATGCTCTTTCACCCAATTAAAAAAAGAAAACAAGTCACTTTCAAGGCTGTCCTGAGCTGAGTGTAGTAGTAGTATATGCCTGGAATCCCAGCACTTTGGGAGGCTGAGGCAGGAGGATGGCAAGTTCAAACCAAGCCAGCCTGGGCATTTTAATAAGTTAGTGACATCCACCCTGTCTCAAAATAGAAAATAAAAATGGCCTGGGGATGTAACTTAGTGAGAAGGCCCTGGATTCAACCCCCAATACAGAAGAAAAAAAAAAAAATTACAAAACACCTCGCCAGTTGTTCTAAATTGTATTATACATTTTCTCATCTTGTGGGCAGTATGCCCTGGAGGTCACTGTCTCTGAAGAGGCATTGGGCATGGCCCCTGCGCTGGGCTGGATGCAGCACCAGGGCATTTGTCCCGCCACTGCCTGGCTCCGAACCGCTCTTCCCTGGGGTTCCCTGTTCAGATCAGTGCAGTCCCCTGGCCTTCCTGGCTTCTGGCAGTCACAGGGGGTGACCTCTCTTGACGCTCTAATGACCCTGAGACGACTCCCTGCCAGGCTTCCAGCTGTGTGGAAATCAGAACGAACTGTTTTGAGAGACAACTAGAGTTCTGTCGATGAGCGCAAGCACACAGAACTCGGGGTCACAGCAGTGGGCTTCCCGAGAGCAAGAGCGTTTGGCTTTTTTACTTCGCAGTGCATGATATGAACGCAGCTCTCTCCTTTCTCCTCTGTACTACTTCCTGCTGCTTCTAGCTTTAGCTGCCAGCCTGCTGGCAGGGCACCACACGGAGCCATCCCTCAACATGCCTCACCTCCTTAGATGATTTGATAGACTTCTTCTCCTGTCCTGTGGATTGACCAAGGCCTTTGCACTGAGCCACGTTCCACGCCCCCCCAACCCCAGACAGGGTCTCACTAAGACACTACAGGCTGGGCTCAACTTTGGAGTCATCCTGCCTCAGCTCCAAGAGTGCTGGGACTATGGGGACGTGCCGTCACACACCCAGCTTGAATTTGTAGACTTTTTTGCCTTTTTGATAAAGGGTCTCATTATGCAGTTCAGGTTGACCTTGAACTCATTAGGTAGCCCAGACTGGCCTTGAACTCAACAGCAGTTCTCCTGCCTCAGCCTCCCAAGTGCTGAGATTAGCCACCAAAATAGGAAGGGATTACAGGAATGTGCCACCATACCCAGCTATGATTTTCTAATAGCCTGTGGCTTTTCTTAGTAAAGAATTTTTGTTTTGTTTTGTTTTTGGAGTTTTGTTTTGTTTTGTTTGTGGAACTGGGGATTGAACTCAGGTCCTTGAGCTTGCGAGGCAAGTGCTTATTTTACTGAGCTGTCTCCCTGGCCCCAGGAAGGGATTTTAGAGGCAGCTGAATCCATCCACCACCTTTGCTGGGCTCCCTCCGCCTTTCCCTGGCTGTGATGAGGACTGGTGGCCCAGGCCCTCATCAGATGCCACCCTCAGATGCCATGTGGTGCTGTAGCCTTATCAGGATCTACAAACACCCCTAGACTTCACTTGTCTCCCTGACGAACATGGTCCCCAGCGCTGGGGTCACTTAGGTGCGGGGCTGATTGTCACGCCCTTGGAAGGGGCCAGGTGTTGGAGGACAGAACCTGCTGCTGTGCCTCACACGAGCCTGTGCCAGTGGCCTGTCCAGAGTCCCCGAGCAGGAGGGGGACAGCATTGTAGAGGCAAGGCGAGGAGCTGGGAAAGCTAGGAGACCGAACGGGTTGAGGGAAAGATGGCTCGGCAGCTCTGAATTCGCAGAAGTGTTGACTCTGCGGGCCCCAGAGGCCGTGTGATGCCCTCCCAGCCCTCAGCCTGGGCCAGGGCCTCCCAGTTCCCAAGCAGGTGCTCAGTCAGAAGCCTCTCCCTAGTCCCTGCCTCAGTCCAGCGGCCAGGAGGGTGCCGGCTGGGGAACAACAGAAACTGCCAGGGCCGAGGCTCTTATTACTTCCTCTTTCCTGTTTAAAAGCTAACTGACAGGTGGGCCCGCATGGAGAACTGAGGAGGGCCATGGGGACACTCATCCTGGGTCACTCCTATGGCAGCACGGGCCTGGGTCTCTCAGGTTCTGCTGCTCCTTTTTTTTTTTTTTTTTTAACGAGACAAGGTTTCACTGTGTAGTGCAGGCTGGCCTTGAACTTGCTTATGTAGCCCAGGCTGGCCCCAGATTTGCCTTAATCCTCCAGCCTCAGCCTCACGAGTGCTGGGATTATGAGTGCTGGGATTACAGGTATGCACCCACACACCTGGCCTACGCTGCTTTAACAGCAAGAATAGAAGGGCTGGGGATGTGGTCCAATGGTGGCACCTGGCATGCCTGAGGCCCTCAGTTCCATACCTCACACCAAAATAAAATCAAATACAGGAACAGGAGTCCAAAATAATAAGTGGACAGAGTTCCAGGCCTTATGAGGGTCCCTAAAGCTAAAGCCCCCTAAGCTCCAGGGGATGCAACCTGTTTTACCTGTGGTGAGCCAGACCGTAGACCCGGGAGCTCACCACCACTCTTAACTCAGAGAAGCCAGGTGCGGCAGTGCGTCTGTAACCCCAGCACTATGGGAAGCTGAAGCAAGAGGACCACAGGTTTAAGTTTAGGGGCTTAGAGAGACCCTGTCCCCAGATTAAAGGTTGGCTAGCAATGTCACTCAGCACAAAGGCCCTGGGTTCAAATCCCAGGACTGGAAAACGAGGGGCATGCTCCTCTCCTCGGGTGCTCACGGCCCCTCCGCCCCCGCAGCTGCCCTGCCTCTCGAGCTACATCAAATTCCGAGCCCTGGACTGGTGAGCCGCGGGCGAGAGGCCAGATCGACGTGGGTGGAGGAGACTCCCGCGGGCGGCCGCTGGCTCAGCGCTGGGCTCTCTCCGCAGTGCCGCGAGCGATTGCCTTGAGGAGATCGGCACAGCCAGCCTGTCCTTCAGCCACATCTCCTCCACCGGAGAGGAGATCGAAGGCAAGCCGAGCGGCCCACCTCCTGCCCAGGGGTCCCGGCCGGTCCCGGACCTCTCACGGCTCTCCTTGCAGGACTCTACTCAGGCTTCCTGCCCTGCTTCGGCCCCAGCTTCTTGCCTCTCCACGGAGGTCCCCGGGCCCCTTCCAGGATCCAGGAAGAAGCCACTGTAAGCTTTCCCACCAGCGCTAAGTGACACAGTCACTAAAACTCTGCAGTAAAGCACCAGAGCCTGGGAGCTGGGGGCGGGGGCGGGGGCGGGGGGCTGACCTCTGCCCTCCAGAGCTGAGTGGATGTGGGGCACAAGCAGGGGCAAGGAAAGAATAGTGCAAGGGTCATGGGCACCTGCGGTGAGAGTTCTGCAGGAGGAAAGAGCCTGGCACAGGTAAACATGGAAAGGCTGGGGATTATTCAAGAAAGGGAGAAGAACCTGGTGTGGTGGCACATGCTGTAACCCAGCATCCAGGAGGCTGAGGCAGGAAGATCTCCATGAGTTCCATCAGCCTGTCTCAAAAAACAAAACCAACAAACAAAAAACAGGTGATAAATGCCCGACCCATCCTGAGTTGGAAAAGGAAAGGGGAAGGAGGTTGGGAAGGGCTGCAGGCCCCAGGCCTTGAGAGCGCTTTCCTTCATACTCCTCTCCTTGTGGCCTTTAACACCTCTCCTCATTCTCTCCTGCTTATCTTCATCTGTGGTCCATCTGGGAACCAGGACCCAAGGCCATCTAAGCTTTTATTTCCCTTGTAGGGCTGGGGATTGAATCCAGAGCCTTCTTGCTAAACTACACACACCCAATTTATTTATTTATTTATATTATAGGGAACGGTCTACAGGGTGTTTAGGGCCGCACTTAGATCAGGTTCGTAGTGATCCGCCTGTTTACAGCCTCCCAAGAGCTGAGATTACAGGCGCGCGCCACCATGCCCAGTCTCAGTCGTGGACTTAGTGTGCCCCGGGAGCTGGGCTGGCACAGCAGGCCCGGGGATCGAACCCCGGGTCCCTATGCTTGCTTACAGGCGCTTTAATCCACTGAGCTATTTGGCCATCTCTCCCAATTTCAAATGTTTTTATTTTGAAACAAGGGCCAGGGAGATGGCTCAGTAGAATATGTTATTGCTAAATCACTAAATTGCCCAGGCTGTCTTTGTAATCCTCTTGATTCAGCCTCCCAGAGTGCTGGAATTACAGGTCTGAACCGGTTTTTTTTAAATCTTCCCTAGTTTAGGGAAGATTCTGATTGGTCTCCTCAGGTCATGTGTGCTCTCTTCCAACCAATCCCTGTCACCAAGGAGGTGGGGCATGTCCTGATTGGCTAGCCTACTTGCATGCTGTGGTTGTCGCAGTGCAGCTAAGCTCCAAGCGTTTGCCTGGTGCGAGGTCCCTCAAATTCTGTAGCAGGCGGAAGGTGTGACAGGAGTGCTGGATGCTAAGGGGCAGAAGAGGGGCTGGGCCCAGAGGTTTCCTGGTGTGGCGGAATCTGGGCATCTGGAGTTGCCCCCTGGATTTGGTTGGAGCTCTGGACCCAGCCTCTTTGCGGAGAGTTTCCAGGAAGACCCATCACTCTGTCCCCTTTGCCCTCCATTGTTCTGTTCCTCCCAGAGTATTCCTGGTGCTATTGGGGACGGTTTGTCTTACCGAGGTCGAGTATTCCTGGAGTTAATCACCCAAGTTAAATCCCATCAAGACAGTACAATAAAGGACCTCTCCCGAGAAGTGGCCAGGATTGAGGTAAGCCGGGGAAATCGTGAACCGGCCCTCCCTGGCCCCAGAGGAATAGACGTAAAGGAGTAAGTTGTGGTTTCTCAGACCAGAAAAATGGAGATACAGTCTCCATGGAGGAGAGCTGGTGGAAGGAGACAGATCCTAGAGGTACTGTGGAGGCAGAACAGTCCGAACCAGTGAGCAGCAGGAAGTGAGGCTGAACCGCCAAGCTCATATCCCTGTGCCACCTGGGGGGCTGAGGTGGCCAGGGGTGGCAGACACCAAGCTGGGCTCCGTGGAGGAAGAGCAGGTCGGGGGCTCATCAGTCTTCAGTTTGAGTCCAGCATCCTGGAAGAAACAGCCCGGCTAGGGTCGATGGGTGAAAGGAGAAGGGAGCTGAGCCTAATGGCACACCATACTCTAAGAGGCGCTCGGAGGGCGTGGAAGGAGGAGAGGAATGGTCAGCGATCTTGATCCCTAAAAGGAAGCCAAGGGCTTTTGAGAGACAGGTCATCTCCTCCCCTCCCTACAGTAGGACAGCCTCGTCTATCCCTTGGCTCATGCCCTGGGGTTGTGGGCTGTCCTTCTAGAAACACCAGAACCGCCAAAAGTATGGACTGTGTGTTATCTTCCTGTCCTGTACCATGATGCCCAACTTTAAAGACTTCATCCAGTTTGAGGTCAGCATCGGCCACTATGGAAACAAGATGGACCTGAATTACAAGCCTCTCGTGTCCAGCACACAGTACAGCCCTGTGATATATGACGGTGATTGTCAAATCCAAGTCCTCCTTCCCATGATTCTCCACAACCTCCCTAATCCCATTTCTCTTGCTCCCACAAACCACCTCCCATCCATCCAGCCATCCACTTACCATCCACCCTGCCTTCATCTATCTCTTCATTTACTCATCCATCCATTAAGCCATTCAGCTCCCAGCCATCCACCATTTCAGACTCCCAACAATCACCTGTCCACCCACTCAGCTGATAGAGATTTGTTGGGCACCTGTATCAGGCAATGTAGCGTAGCATAGCCCCTGCATTGCCTGGATGCTTGTTAAAAATGCAGATTCTTGTGCATGTGGTAGCATACAGCTGTAATCCCAGCTATTCAGGAGGCTGAAGCAGGACGATTGCAATTTTGAGGCCAGCCTGGGCAATTAGTGAGACCCTGTCTCAATAAAAAATTTTTTTAAAGAATGAGGCTCTTCTTTAGCTCAGTGGTAGAGTGCTTGCCTCACATGCTTGAGGCCCTGGGTTCAATCCCGGGTACCACAGAAAGTAGCTGGGTATGGTAGAATATGCCTATAATCCCAGCACTCAGGAGGCTGAACCAGGAGGCTTGCCATGAGTTCAAGGTCAGCCAGGGCTACATGGTGAGTTCAAGGCCAGCCTGCACTACCTAGCAAGACCTTATCTCAAAACTAAAAAAAAAAGGAAATGTAGACTCTTAGTTGGGCCCACACCACAAGCGTAGATTCAGATAACCTGGAGATGGGGCCTCAGCAACTAGGGCGACAAAGTCCGAATTGGGTGCGTGCTAAAGCTCGAGAACACTGCTGTGGAGCAGTGCTTGCCCCTTCCTTCTAGCCTTGCCAGCACTCCCTGAGAGCCTTCTGTGCACCCCACTTCTCAGCCTGTTTTTAAAACAAAAGCTTTGTTGAGACAGCTCACACACCAGACAGTCTGCCTGTGGAAAGCACGCGGCCCCTGGATACCAGCACGTTTGCAGCGCGGGGAGGTCCATCACCACCACTATTTTTTGGAATATTTTCTTCAACCCCAAAAGAAACCCCGGGCCATTAGTGCTGGCTCCCCACTTCTCTGCCACCTCCAGCACTGCTTCCTGCTTCTCGCCTGCACACCCCGTGCTCATGGCGCTATACGATGCGTGGTTCTCTGTGCCTGGCTTCTTTCACTTAGCTTAGTATTCTTTTTTTTTTATTATTATTTATTTATTACATTTATTTATTGTGTGTGTGTGTGTGTGTGTGTGTGTGTGTGTGTGTGTGGCCAGCTCAGCCCACCAGGGGGCGCAACTGGCTGGCATGTGGTGCTGGGGATCAAACCGTGGTCCCTGTGCTTTGCCAAGCTTGTTTCAAGTAGGTGCTTTAGACCACTGAGCCATCTCTCCAGCCCTAGCTTAGTATTCTTATTTTTATATATTATACACGTGCGCAAAAAGTATATAAATATATTTACAGTTTTAGAAAGAATGAGTTCCCACGAACTTAACCATACAGCTTAAAAAATAGAGTTAGTTTTCAGTGTTGGAAAATGTCCCTGTTTGGCCTTGCCCCGAAATAACCATGGTCCTGTCTCCTGCGTGTGTCACCCTTTGCTCTATTTTTAATCGTTACCCCCTATAAATGGAACTTTAAAAAGAAACAGTTCTTTTTTACGTAAGTGGCTTCTCAGTCATGTTCATTTGCAAGCTTATATCTTTTGTTCAACATTACAGTTTCATATGGCTCATTTTCACTCGTGTCTGCATTCTACCGTATGATTACACCACGAATTATGTGGTGTGTGTAGACTCTGAGGTTGGATCTCTTTTTGGTAGTATCATAATTTTGTTATAAACAGTCTTGTACATGTCTCCTGGTCATAAGTACAAGGCTTTGCTTGAAATTATATACCTGGGAGTGGAAGAGAATCTCAAGACAAAAGTGATTATTCCAAATTACACTCTTATCAGTATGGTATGAGAATTCCTGGGTTGCTACTCTCTCACCAGGACTTGTTGCCCAGACTTTTTGGTTTTTTGCCAGTCTAGTGAATGTGAAAAAGTATCTCACTGGGCCTTAATTTGTTCTTGTCTCATTTTTAAAATGTTTATTCTTTTATTCGGTACAGGGTCTGACTACCCAGCGCATACTCATAGTGATCTTCCTGTCTGAGCCTTCCCAGTGCTGGCATCATAAGCCCGCACCGCCACACCCGGTGTTGGTGGCCAGCTTGGCGTGGGGCCGACACATTATGTGGCACCAGGGATCGAGCCCAGGTCCTAGTACTTGCCTGGCAGGCGCTTAGACTGCCAAACTATCTCCATGGCCCTCTTGCCTTATAAATGAGGGCTGAGCCTCTTCAGATGTGGATAGAGGCATTTGTACCTGTAAAACAAAACAAAACAAAAAAACCCAAAAGCACCCCTAAAACCTTGTTCCTCTCTTTTATCCATCATTTCATTTGGCTGTATTTTTCTATTGATTTATATATTAAATCTCCTACCAGATGTGCATACTCATGAACTCAGCACCCTACATAAAATATAAGAAATCGGACATCCTTACACCTTTCTCCAGCGAAGGGACTGTTTATTAAGTTTGCCTTTTTTATGCTGAATTGCAGGCATTCTTTTCCATTTTGGATACAGGTCCTTTGTTTGAAATATTTTGGTAACATTTTCCAGCCTGTGGCTTGGCTTTGCAGTTTCTAAACAGTTTCTTTTGAAGGTCACAAATTTCTAATTTTGGTAAAGTTCAACTTGTTGACTTTTTTCATTTATGGCTCGTATGTTATGTGGTCCAAGAAATACTTCCATTAGATCATGCCTGTGCAGAGATCACGCAGCTATTGTTTGTTCGACGTGCTTTATAGCTTCCGCCTCTTTGTTAAGGTTTATGTCTAATTTGACTGATTTTCATATATGGTATGAACGCAGGGGTGATTTTTTTTCTACATACGTATCCAGTTCAGCAATATTTGCTGAAAAAGTTTGTTCCCACATTGAATTAGTTTGGCATCTTTGCTGAAAATTAAGCATATATTTTTGTCTCTCTCTAGAATGTCTGTTCTGTTCCATTAATTTCTCTATCCTTATGCCCACTCACTCATATAAATAATACTATCTTATGTATAGTATACAGTGGAATTGTGCTAGTAAAACTGTATGCATACTTTATATTATCTTTGTATGCATACTTTATATTATATTATATTATATTATCTTTGTATGCATACTTTATATTATCATTGCATTTTTTCTCTTTTTGATGGGGGCAGTATTAGAACCAGGACTTTACACATGCTAAAATATACTATATCACGAATTATACTTTGGCACTTTTTTTCTTTTTGTTCCCAGGGATCAAGCTCAGGACCTTGTGCGTGCCAGGCAGGCGCTTATGGCATGGAGCTATCTCCCTGGCCCACTTTGACACTTTTATTTAAAAAAATTCTTTTTCAGAGGTTGGTGAGATGGCTCAGTGGTCTAAAGCACCTACTTAGAACAAGCTTAACAAAGCACAGGGACTGCGGTTCAATCCCCAGCACCACATGCCAGCCAGCCGCGCCCCCTGGTGGGCTGAGCTGGACACACACACACACACACACACACACACACACACACACACAAATAAAATTTAAAAAAAAATTTTTTTTTTTCAGATAAGGCTGACCTCGAGCCTGCACTTTTCCTGCCCAGCTCTGCTGCAGCTGGCTTTCAGGACCATGCTAGCTAGCATCCCTAGCCTTTTACAAATTTTGTTTAGGATTTTTGCATCTATGATGATGAGTACAATCTTTTTTTATTTAGCAAGTAATTCATTTGGTGGTATAATTTACATACCATAAAATGTACACACCATAAAAATAAAATTTATGTGGCATAAAATGTATCTATTTCAGCTTAACTCAATGACCCATGCCTGTAATCCCTGCATTCTGGGGGACAGATTACAAGTTTGAGTCCAGCCTAGACAATGTAATGACTTAGTAAGACCCTGTCTCAACATTTAAAAAGTAGCCAGGGATGGTGGCACACACCTGTAATCATAGCACTTCAGAGGCTGAGGCAGGAGGGTTGCTACCAGTTCCAGGCCAGCCTCATTTACACAGTGAATTTAAGGCCAGCCTGATCTGCACAGTGAGACTCTATCTCAAAAAGACAAGAAAAAAAAATTTGAATAGGAAGGGCTTGGAATGTGGCTTACTGCAAAGATTCAGTCCCCAGTACTACACACGTGTGAGCATGCACACGCGTGCACACACACACATACACCTGCACAAATTTGTTTTTAATAAGATTTCGACAATCACCACCACACCCAGTTTTAAGAGTTTTCCAACACCCCAAGAAATTCCTCAGTGCTCCCATCCCCAGGCCCACACGATGACTCGCTGCTGCTCTGTGGTTTACTTTCCTGAGTATTTCCTATAAAGGAAGTCATACAATGTGTGGTCTCTGCGCTGGCTTCTTAGCCTCAGCACAAGGTTTCTGAGCTTTGCTTATAGTGTGGCATGCGGCGGTGCCTCATTCCATTTTATTGTTGAGCAGCAGGACTGGGCACATAGCTCGGAGGCAGAGCTGTTTACCTAGCTGAGCCCTGGGTTCAATCCCTAGCTCTGCAAAACAAGAAAAAAAAAAAAAAAAAAAAGAAAAAAACTGTATTCCATGCTATCCTGTAAACCTAGTGATTCCCAAGGATGAACATTATTTCTGCTTTTTGACTACTAGGAATAATGCTGCTGTGAACTTTCAGGTACAAGTCCTTGTGTGAACATATAGTTTCATTTATTGTGGGTAAAATACTTAGATGTGCGATAGTTTTGTAAGAAATTGCCAAATGTTTCTAAAGTGGTTGCACCATTGTATGTGCCCCCAGCAGATAAGACGAACTCAGCTTCTCGTATCCACGTGTGTTGTGACATTTGTCTTTTCCTTTCCATTAGTATAGTACACCTGGAATGATGTCTCACGGGAGCGTGGATTTCTATTTCCTATGCCTAATGATACTGAGCGTCCTTTCATATGCTTAGCCATC